CTCCATGCTTTCTAATGAAGAACTTTGACAAAAGATTCAAAATCATTAGTGGAGGATAAAGATGAATCATATGCTGGTACATTTAAAAGTTTCCCGAAGGAAATTTGATCAAAGAATCATATTCTGGTCATAAAATGGAGGATAAAGATGAATTTCCTTTAACTCCCTGATAGTGAATATTTCTTATCTCAATAGTAGAGGAAAGAACAAGTGGAAAGACAATGTAATCCAATAAGTATGAGTGGTAGGACAGGGAATTCTGGAAAGCATAATCAAAGTGAAAGATTTAGATGGACCTCACACAGAATTAATTCAACCTTCAGAATCATAATTTCAGGACCGTTCATTTTATTAAGTATCACCTTTGGTGAAACAGAGAAAGAATCCACTCCAAAAACCTGAGAAACTGTATGTTTTCCCAGGAAACAACCGGTTGCTAGTGGAGGGACAAGAAATATACAATTTCTTTCACTATTTTACTAGCGAATTTGTAATGCATGCGCAGCATGAAATTGGTAGTAAGAGAAGCAGCACTTGCATACACTTTTGGGTCATGCCAACATGTACTGTATATCAAGGATCAAATGCTGGAATATCATGGAACGAACCATAGAATGCTCTGTACATTGTTCTGTCCACAATGTTCTTGTATGGATCCTCCTCCCGCTTCTTCAACAAGTAGGCAATGTTTGCCTCAATTTCAGACTTCACGTGAGAGTATAACTTATCTGCCGTTTCTTTGTTCTTAAGCAACTCTTCCTTTCCTTTCAATTTTATTGGCTTCCCAAATAGATGGTAGAAGCGCCCTGGTATCTTTGGTAGTAATCCAGGTATAAAAGGCTGTTGGTTGGCAACTTCTCCGAGTGATTTGTCCCTATGATCAGAACACACTCCCCATTAGGATAACCAACATTTCATTTATAAGCATCTTACTCCATTTCCATTTAAATGTTCTTGGACATTAAAACAAAAGAGAGTACTAACCTTATTTTTATGGTTTTCTGCACTTCCTCCCTAAGGTCATTCAGCACTGGGACTTTCATCAGGTCATTGTAACCAAGAACCAACTACCACAAACATTACAGGCAAGGAAAGTGGTTAATTGCAAATATTATATTCAAACTTAAAATATTGAGGAAAATTATGTTTAATGACTTCTTTTTCCTTGTGAAAATTTGGGATAAATGTATGCTATCTGTGTGTATGTGGCATTGGGATGTATAAATGACACAAGAAAACAATGCATACAAAAGAATGAGGAACAAAAGGTAAGCTAGAATCGGTTTCCTTTTGCACGTCTCTAAATTAGTGCCAATAACAAATCAAGATTCCACGAATAAATTACTCCTTTTATATATACACCTTCCATTGATTAGCCATGAGGAGGTTCCGCCTCAGCCTTCTCCTTTTGCACTTCTGTTTGTGCAAGAATAGAATCTGCTGCAAGTGACCTAGAAATCTTGCCCTTCTGCTTTGGTGCTGCCTGGCCCACCACAGATGCATGGTAGATAAGCCCATATTTGGGAGTTGCATGCTT